TGATGCAGCCCAAAATTGCATTGGCCTTTTTAGCTGCTGCATCGCATTCCTTTATTCTGGACTCCATCCTGGAGAAAAGTAACATCTTTATAAGCGACTTGGATGGTGGAATAGGGGGCATGCTTATCATAAATTTGCAGAAGACGCCAAATTGGGTGAAGTAGCTAACATCCCAGAATCACAGTTCAAACTTGACACATTGGAGAGCTGGGCCCTAAACTAACAAAATTAATTTCAACAGAAATAAACATAAGGTACTACATTTAGTCAGGAAAAGAGAAATGTACAAATATAGAATGAATGACACATAGCTTGATAATACTGTAGCGAATGTAAGAGGTAGCAAAGTAGACTGCAGGCTAAACATGAGTGAAAAGTGTGATGCAACAGTGTTAAAAAAAACAATGCAATTCTGGGCTGCATCAAAGGAGCATTGTATCCAGATTAAGTAGTAGTGCCATTCTGTTCTATTCCTCATCTGGAATACTGTGTAAAAATCTGGGCTCCATGGGAGGCATACTGCCAAACTAGAATCTGGGGTACTGAGGAGGATGACCAAGATGGCAAATGGCCAGGCCTTATGGAAAATGGTTTAGGGAGCTAGGTATGTTTAGTCTGGGAAAGAAGAACTGATGGCAAAAGCGGTTTGACAGTGGTATAGACTGCACCAGAAATTGGTGAACTATCGTTCTTGGAAAATCTTTAAGCAGAGGTTGGATGGCCATCTCTCAGGAGTGCTCTAGCTGTGGATTCCTGCATGGCAGATTATTGGACCTGAATGGCCCTTGCGGTCCATTCCCTCTCTATGAATCTAGTTCTGTTTAGAGTCTAATATTCCCCCCAGACTTGTAGCTGTTCAAGGAAATATGATTCCTATGTGATGCAGAAAAAATAATACCACACTGTGCTCAAATAATCACCCTTTTTACAAACAGGAATTCTAAGAAATTGTATTTCATCAAAATTGCCATCACCTGCTTGGGCTTGTAGTGTACAAATCAGTCCCAAACTGCAGTTTTGGAGCAGTGGGACAAATCTTTTGTGGCCATATTCTTGGTCTTCATGCAGCGTTCCCATTTTATAGCTTCAAGAAGACTGAGCAACTTGAAAAATAAAATGAGATACTTTCTATATGTGTGTGTGTGCAACCACCTGTACATATGCATATGTGTATATTCCTTCTCAAGATTTGCACAAGGTTTTAATAAGTCATCACAAATGTTTTAAGGGTTACACTAGGTCCCCAGTAATCCCTGTACCAGCATATGAATAGCCCTTAACATCACAGTTTTAAGTATTGTTGTTTTGTGCCTTAAAGTCATTTCTAATTTAAGGCAACCCTAAGGCAACCCTGTCAGGGGGGTTTCTTGGCAAGATTTGTTCAGAGGATCCCCCCCCCCTTTGCTTTTCTCTGAGGCTGAAAGAGTACAGTATAACTTTCCCAAGATCATCCAGTAGGTTTCCATGGCTGGTGGGGATTCAAACCTTTTTCTCCAGAGTCATAGTTGCATGCTCAAACCACTACATTTTAAAGTATACTGGGATGGACATCCGTCTTGCTGGGTACAGTGGAAGTGTCTGTTTGAATAAACATGCTTTACAAAGTGCTACTGGTCCCATTGGAATCAATCAAATGGAGCAGATTTAAATACACAGTTTGCCATCCAAAGTGATTTGTAGACTGCTGCCTCCTATCTTCGATCTCATTCCCCACAGCATCACCTTAATGGAACCCCATTGAGTTAACCACCAGTCTGAATCATCCATAAATCATCTAACATAATATGCTTTCTGACAGCACAAGTCCTATGCATATCTATTCAGAATCAGTAGGAGGGTTACTCCCAGGGAAAAGTGCCGCAGCAGAAAACAGCCCTTTCATTTCACTTATGCTTCCTTTTTTGTATGGCATCAGCCTTTGCCTTCCAAGGCAATACTCCATGTCTTTTTAGGTACCGCACTGATTCTCATTCTGTATGTCCTTCAATATGGGTATATATCTGATAGATGTGTACAGTCTTTAAAACTAGAACAGGGATAGAACAACAGAATAATTGGAAAATTCATATGGGTAGCGTTGATTATGTTCATCCTCCTTCTGGAACAAAAAATATGTTTTACAGTTGAAATCAAGAAAGGTCACAGGAGCCTTGGTTTATTTAAAATTGGGGACGATTAAAAGGGTATGCTCATTATGTTACTAAAACCTAGCTATGGACCGGGTGTGGCTTATGCCTGTGCAGAAACAGGTGCTGCATGGAGTGAAATGTGTTAGATGTGGCACTGCACATAGGGAGGAAGAGAGATGGTACCTAACTCACCAGGCTTTTTTTTCCTGAGTTATTACACTCACATTTCTTACATTCAGCAATCATTATTCTGTTCTCTGCTTATTTCCCCCCAAACACCATATTTCTTTAGGATTTGTTGATTCCTTGCCTGTCATGTTTCTATGACAAAGCCATACAAAGATCCCTTTGTTTCCCTAGGATGCCCTACATATCTCAAATGGACTATATAAATACAGTTCTTTAATCCCTGGAAAAGCACTAATCTGAACTAGGAAAACTAGGTCTTCATCATTCAGAGTACTAGTTCTGCTGGTAAGCCAGCTGAAATATTGTGGGGTGCAATTTGAGTTTCCCAGAGTGTTAACCCTTTTAAAGGAAACAAAAAATATGCAAGTATGAAAGAAAGTCAAACCTGTCAGAGGCTAGCTTTCACTAGCAGTACAGCAGAAGTGTAGGTCAGACTATATTTTAATATGTTTCCCTAAAGAATAAATACT